ACAGCAAGTGTCTGTCTGCGACTGCCATCTCGCCTAGAGGAAGCCACGACCACGTGTCAGAGCAGTGAAGATGGCCGCGGGTCGTGTTCGTCACCCGATGCAGAGTTCGCGAATGGAAGCAAAATTTTGCGAACGCTGCTATTCACGAACCGAATTGTTTGTAAACAGAAGTGTTCGTGAACCAAGGTATTAATGTAGTTTTGCCTTTTTGTTTAATTTCATCAACTTGATGTTGGTATCCATGCTCTGAAGCTAACCAGCATCCTTTACATTTCCATCTGTAAGCTATAACCTCTGACCTGACCGCATGCTTCACATTTTAACATTTGTCTATCCATCTGCAGAACACTGTGGACAAGCTTATTAAGAAGACAAATCTAGCTCTTGTGGTTGGAACAAACAGCTGGAGAGAGCAGTTCATTGAGGCTATCACTGTTAGTGCTGGTAAGTTTCTCTTTCTATAATGCCATAAATTACAATTAGTCATTCCCCTAGCATGAGGTTAACTTGACCCCAATATTGCTAGCTTGCACTTGTTTCAGGAGCTGGGACAAAGGAAGAAGCAGTCTCCCCTTTCTTAAAAAGTAGATAGCTTTAGCACTATAATTGCAGCATATTAGTCTTCAAATCTGCATTGCATGCATCTCTCTGATGGAGAAGGAGTTGTTTTGTTTTAGGCCATGGATGGGTAACCTACGTCTCCAAAGCCTGTTTCTGTGGTCCCCATGGCAGTTTGGCAATCTAGCTTCCAAAAATCAGTATTGCAGCTTCAGTCTGTTTCAAGCACAAAGCAAAAAAGAACCCCACGTTTTGTGAGCTGTGAAATAGGCTTAGCAGTTTAAAAATGCAGAGAAAAAATAAAATAAATTCCCAAACTCCCAGACCAACCCCTGGCAACTTCTAGCCCCAGGCAAATGCTTAGTCTGCATAATTTCCCTGCCTATAAAGACTCTTGTTTTCCCTCACCAAAACTATACCAAAAATGTGTCCACCCTTGTCTTGCCTACCCAGAAGCCCTGAAGTAGTGATCTTTAGGGCTTCTGTGTAAATGTAATTTTACTAATTAGAAAACCACGCTGTCCTTTTTACAGGGAGGGATGGGGTGTAACAGTTAAAAAGTGCAGCCATGTATTTCGGTTTATTTTAATGGGGTTCCATAAGGCTGTTAAAAGGCAAGTAAAGCAATAATAGAACATAGTCAGGTGTTCTTTGTAGTTCTGAATTCAGTTTACTCCAGGTCTGAGTTAGTACAGCAAATACGTTAACATTAAGCAGAATTTAATCTGAATAGTGACAGTTGGGAAATCCATGCAGCTCATGGAACCTTGAGTTCCTTCAAAGAAGAAAGGCAGACAGGACAAGGGATTGAACAATGTATAATATCTATGATTATAAAACATTTTTTAAAAGTATGTGCATGTTTGTGCACATGTACATGCACACATGTCCCCCAGTACAGTCTTGTTTATAACCTAATGTAATTATTTGATTTGCTGACTTCACACAACATTATCTCACTGTGGATACACGCTCAGTACAAGATATTATCTTCCAATTTGCAAATAAATTTCCATTTTTGACATCATATTGCTTTCTTTCTAAACTGTTTTGAGAGCCTTCATTACAACTGAAATGCATTTCCTTTTGTACTACTATATCTGGTCTTGCCAGAATGAGTGGACTGTCCTTGGATGAATCTTACAAAATCAACCTGCTAAAAAAAATTCCAGTGGGAATGAGGTACTTCTACAATATACTTAACAAGTGCCATCAAGGTATCTGAGTGTGGTAACTCCACTATATCGATGCGACTTAAACTAGATATAAATTAAGAACATAAGACTTACTTTTCTAAGCAAGACTAACATTCTAACAGAAGGCTTGAAGCAAAAATAAGAACAAGAGTATCTTATTTTATATAAGAAACATGGGGATCCTTGGGGGAGTCAAGATCTGTAAGATTGTGGGTGCAGAATCAAGATCAAAGCCCCACCCCTTTGTACATACACATGACTCACTGCATGCACACATGGGGTAGCATTTCAGTCATGACCCCACCATCTCACAGATTTTGACCCTCCCCACAGACATCACTGCCATGAATACAGAGAGACTACATTCATAAATTGTGCCATGTCGTAATGTCATTTGATTTTAGATTAGGGTATTGTATGAACTCAACCATTGTTTGTGACTTGTGGTATATTGGTTAGGATATGATACAAATCCAGCCAGTTATTATTTAAGTAAATCATAGTTAATAGAACTGTGGCTTAATATGATGTAGGAATCACTGACTACATTTCTTTCAGTTTAATTATATATAGGCAAATTATAGAACTGTAATTCAGGCAAATTATAGAACTGATAAGTGATACTTTAATTATACATACTGCTTCTGTGAGAAGGATTTTCTGATCATTGCTTCATAACTGAAGGCACACTTCCATTGTTAATATTCATGGCACGTTCACCTGCATGAATCACCAGTGCACCATACTATACCTTCTCCAAGGACAGGTAATTGTGCTGTTGTTTCTATGCATCAGAAATAATGATCTTACGACTTGCACCTCAGCATGATTATCTACTATCCTACTAATTGAAAAGATAATCAGAAGGAGGTCAGACTAGAGCAGCAGATCATATAGCAATAAAGCTGGTAACTTACTCCATAGGTGCTTCAGCCCTTAGGAAATGTTTATGTTTAAACGAAAAATCAGTCTTAACACCCTTGCATTTTTTATGATTCACAATTTTGAAAATAATTGTTTTCAGGAAGTAGTTCCCAACTTGCATTACCAGCTATTTTTCCATAATCTCCTATTTGTATGGACAGTGGTTAAGAGTGACTGGTAGTGGCATCCAACCTCATTCGGGAACCTAAGGTTGAGAACCAATGATCAGGAATTTCTGCCTCCATCAGCCTTTGCAGATAGAGAAATGCCTTTTCCCCCAGACTACATATGCTCCATTGCAGAATCCCCTACGTGCAATTTGCCTTGCTCTTACTGGCAGGGCTCCTGGCATTTCAGAAGTACCAGGCTAGAAAAGAATCTCTCACTTAACCATGAAGATAAGAAAGTGATAAATCATATGACAACATTTTATCTTGTCATTTTCCTATGTTTATTCCAAAATCAGCCAAGTGCAAAGACAAAGTGTGTATCAGAATCTTTCCTAGGCAAGTATCTAGGAGTACATAACAATCTCCTTTCTTATTAGCAGTATCTGCCCTCTACATTTAAGGCTGCGATTGTTTTCCCTTGCCTAAATTGAAACTGGTGAAACTGAGTGAAAGTGAAACAAGTTCATTTATTTTAACTAAGTTTAATTTGGAAGAATCTATTATATGATCTGAGTCAAGTAAAGAACAAAAATAACAAACAATCCTAGAGTACTTTTAAGCTGCAGGGTCCCTCTTATACATCTGGATTATGTGTCAGGTACTTCTCAAGTGTTTCCCTGCTCCTAATGCTATTGTGGTCTGCGTATATCCACAGGAGACTTTTCTGTTCCTAACGTGCAGTCCACAACATTCAAGTCTGCAGAGCTAGAGGCTTCCTCTGCAAGTGTCAGATGTTCTGTTAATTCCCAGGTGGCTTCCTTCTGTTCAATTCTAGAATTGCACCCATAAAAACACATGTTTCCAATGAACCTGGTGGAAGTTCATTTACTGTGGAGAAAACACAATTTAACAAACTGTCAAGACTGTTCCTTGTAGAATAATTTTTGAAGTGTCTGCCTGATCTTTATTCCATACTTCTACACTGTGAGATGCAAATGTGTCCAACAAGAACCATGTTCCTCCTTTCTTTCTTGATCAGGAAGACAGTTCAGAGGGGAACTGCTATAGTGCAATTGGAAGAAGGCATTCACGCCTTTCTTTGATATCATCATGTGCCTGCATTACAACTGCTCCCAGATTACCTTTCCACCAATAACAGTAATGTATAATTTAACTCCCGGTAACCTTATAGGTTGGGCAGCAGTAGACAACCCTTAAGACAGATTCAGTCCTGAAGCACATTCTTTGTACCCCCAGACCTGTGCCTGAAACAGTAAAAGTAAAAAAAACTGCACTCTAATTTAAAAAGAAACAGAAAGAAACCCTCACCTCATCCACTTGCATGAAATCAGCACAATGCAAAGAGAGGTCAAGGTTATTAACAAGGTGCCTGAAGTCAGAAAACAGCCAGTCACATGGTCTTGAATCAGAATTGGTAGCCAGGAGTCAGAATCCACAAAGAAGTCTATAATGCAAAGCAAGGTCCAGAAGCTGGAAGTAAAGGACAATGACATGCATTTCAAAAGCAGCGTTTTTCACAGCTTTTTGAACTCTCAAGTAGAGCAGTTGGCAAGGCAGGAGTGCAGCTACATACAGGGGTGATCTAGCTAACGGGTTGCTTCAGTGCAAGTAATGGCGACTAACTGCTTCTCAAGGGCAGGAACACAATATATTGTCCTCTACCCACCCACAGGCCACTGGCTTGTGCATCTTCTACCCATCTTTTCCTACAGTATGTCAGAATAGTATTTTCCAGTTTGCACTGGCACTAGCAATGCTGTTTGTTTTGCCTATCGCATGTCAAACTCCTCAGGTCCAGCTGACTGCTGCATGCTATGGCACGAACAGTCCCTCCCTTCCTGTCACCCTATATGTGCCTATTTTGTCCAGGACTGCTAGACCAGTAAAACAGCACACTTTTTTAAACCGTTCCCCTGGTGAAATTTTGGCTTTTTATTGTTTGTTTGTTTTTGTTTTTATTCATCCACTTTTCTTGCCCACCTATGGGTGGGAGGAGAAACAGGGAGAAAAGGGTGTGTCATTGAGTTAATTTAAATGTTCAAGGGATCTGACTGAAAAAAACAGGGTCTTACAGGTTTCTAAGAGTTTTGTTGTTATAGTAACAGAGACAGAAATAAACAAGTTTAGGCAAGCTTTATCAAAACAGTCAAACAACTTCACTTCTCTGGTTCATTGTTTTGCATTATTTTGCAAATAATTCTACCAATCTGAGCGCCGCATCCTGTTGTAAAAGTGTAGGAAACAAGTGTTTTTCTGCACTCTGAACTTCTAGCTCAAAGCCATTTTAAACATGAATCACTTAGCAAGTTAAAACAGTGATTTAAAATATGTGTATACCTAGCATATGCACCTCTATAAATTGCTAAATTCTAAAATTATTTCTATCCAGAGTTAAGAATAATCTTACAGAACCTATTGGCAATTCTTTATCTCTCACAGTCAGATGAACTGACAGTTGGCCTGGATCCAACTGGTGACCTTCTGACAGGTATTTTCTATCTTCTGGCACCCCATCATGCCATCTGTGTTGGTTATTAATTTGTCCCACAATGCTTTTTCTCTTAGGTGAGTCTTCTCCAGGTCTTACCTCTGAACACCTTGTAGATTTTCCTCCACTAGAACCTTTAGAAGACAA